ACACCAGGAAAGCTTGATATTAGTTTACCCACTATTTTGGCCGTGTCTTTAATTTTTACTCTCCATTTCGCCTTTTCTATAAATTTTATACAATCTGTTTTTATTGCCGAGACCTTTGCTTTTGTTAATTTCACAGTCATTGTGACGGAGTTAATTTCAAATCTAGTGTTATTAATTTCCGGGAAGGGATAAATATCAATTTTTTTGAATGCACTAAGAATAATGTCACTGTACGTATCACATTGTTCTGACATGCATCGTAAGTTTTCCCTTGTAAATAGAAATCATCCCGATGTCCCGAGATGATGTGCCCTTTTGAGTGCAATGTAGCTAAGGGGGATTTTTAGAGTTTTTGTGAACTTCCGTGGTCCAAGAGATAAGCCGTTGGGCAAGCACATAAATTGGTATAAAACACCCTTCCAGTGGATCTCAGGTATTTTCTTTCAGTGTATTTTATGGGGATAGAGTAGTAGGCGTCTTTGAGGTCATTACTACACATATAGCAGTTTTGTTCTACAAGCTTAGTGATCGTAGTTAGTGAGTCCATTTTTGAAATGGAAATAAGACAAAAGTATTAAAAACTTTAAGATCTAGTATGACCCTATGTGCGCCGTCTTTTTTCATTTTAGTGAAAATGTTTGAGAGAATTTCATCTGGTTTGTGTCGTACGGTTTCTATTATGTTTTTAGCAATCATTCTATCAATCAGTTTGTATTTGCAACAATTCAATTTCATTGAAGTTTGTTGGGCAAAAGTGATGTTGGTAAGGCTTTTCCGACAGATCGATTGTCATACCTTTTGCATTAGATAAGATTTCTTTGTCGGATTTGACATCGGTCCACGCTGAAAAGTGATTTGTTATTCTGCCCGCTGTGCAGCTGTCACATAAAGTAATTAAGAGGTTTTTTAACTTTGGAATAAAATTTTCCCATTTGCTTACCGATGTACTTTTCATATGTTGTAATTGGTGAATTATTTCTTGTGTGTTTGTCGTTTCACATTTTCCTTTAGGAAGTATGACTTCCCGCGCTCGTGAAAATCTGACTTCACTCCAACTTTTATAATTTGATCCATGCATGTTGGCGCCAATGTCGTTTATCATAATTTTTAAATTATATGAGCGAGATGTGTTTGATCGAGGTTGATTGTATCTGACTACCTGACATCTCTCCTTTCTTTTGCTTCTTTCAATCTTTTCGGTAAGTCATCCCCAAGAGCAATTTGCTGCATTCGCCGTTATCTGAGCAGATGGAATAATCTGGTTTTAGAACACATATTTTATTCTTGCGAACACTTGCCAGTTCATGACTGATGTGTCCCAGCATTGCTTTTAATTTGGCTTGTTGACTTAATAGTTTTTAATGTCAAGGTCGTTTGCCTTTGTTGTGCTCAGAGCAATGAGTTATAATAAGATTTGTTTTCGTCCTGCTTCTTGTATATTTGATATGTTTTGGTCTGCTCTTTCTTGGTAGAATGGTAGTTTGGCCCATATTTCGGGGTTGACATGATGGAGCATACAGAAGGGCAATTGGCAGGTCATTTGTATTTGTCTTGGATTGACTTTAGTTTGTCAAGAGCAAGTTTTTCTACCATCTTTTCTCGACAATGGTTGCAAGATGTGGTTTAATATCATCTCCTGTGGGCTCCGAGTCGTCAAATAATTCCAGCTAGCTGTTGAAGTGTGTCATTGGTTGAACTCGCATTTATTTCTGTTTTATCATTGTCAATAAGCTCAGAGATATTATCATCGTCGAGTTCATCAGCGCAAACGCTTATTTTGATGTTTTCATTCGAGTTGTTTTCATGTGTAGTATCATTAACTGATTTGTAAGATTTTGATTTTCTGTTTTCTCATGACGGATATCGTCTCACTGTCCGTCGAGGTAGAGTTAGATCGGCGCCGTTTATAACGGCTATTATGTTTTCCTCAACGTCGGGTTGTTGAGTTGAGTTTGTATCATCCCTTGTTTGTCGATGCTGCTACATGATACGTATCACTGATTTCAGTTCAGATAACTCTTCAGTAATAGTTTGAGTATCAGGCTGTTGTTTGCCCGCTAATATGTCTTCTATGTCGTTTGGTGTTTCTTCAAAGTTTCTCATACCTGCTAAATGGCAAATTTTGAAATAAGGAGAATTCTAAAATATGGTTATATTCACGATTAGTTACCTGTCCTCTTCTAAAGTGTTAGGAATTATATAACTTAAGTGTGTATTTGTTCCTCTCTTATTAACGAACACGCAGTGCACTTATCGACAAGCGGCGCGCGCTTCTCATGTGACTCCGTAGTGACGTGACAGATGACGTTGTAGAATCTTTTTTTTTATAATTTCGTAATAGCATGATTGAAATGCTGCATTCAACGTAAACGACAACTTTCTTAAATTTTTTATTGCAGACATGTTTCGGCAAACTTATGCCATCTTCAGTGCGGTATAATGAATGAATATTTGAATGGAGTTAATATTTGAATGGCGTTAATACATGACTCATGTAATAAAAACATATAACAACGACACAAACTCTAACACGACTAACAATGAACAAGACCACACAAAGCCAAACCCCAAATCCATTACTTCAAGCTACCTTACATTGGCCACTACTTACAAATCACAAACGAAAACTACATAACTTGGTCAGACGTTACTGCACAAACTTAGACATAAAACTAGTAATCTCTTCTTTTCTTTTAAAATCAAAACTTCTCCGCTAAAGACACCATCGCTTTCCTCTTAAAGTCCAACGTGGTTTTACGAATTCTCTTGTGCGGGATGTAATTCTTGCTACATTAGCGAAACCAGCCGCCACCTCTCCACACGGATTAAAGAGCATACCACTTCCGATAAGTCTTGAATCAGATTTTTTTATATATTAACTCCACTCAAGTATTCATTCATTAAACCGCACTGAAGATGGCATAAGTTTGCCGAAACATGATTGCAATAAAAAATTTAAAAAAATTTGTCGTTTACGTTAAATGCATTAATTTTTTTTACATGGAAAGTAACAAAAAAGAATCTCGGTGACGTTTGAAAATATTATGAAAATTCAAAAACATAGGAAATGAAATGTTGATCTTTTTGACAATAAATTATTTACGGTGTGACATTCTTGATAAAGTTCTTTAGTGGAATAATGTGCTCATTTTAACTTCCGTTAAAATTTCCAAGTTTTTCAAATCAATATTGAACACATGTTTGTAATGGATATTCGTTTACTTGAAAGTCTGAATTAATGCATAATTCATGATCATTGAACATAATAACAAATTCAAACAAATAGGAATCTTTTAGAAATTGATGAATTTGAACACCATTAAGCCTGGTTCACACATGACTGAGACTTGACTGAGGCATACCTGTGACGATGCCTGCGTTGCTCTTAAGGCAAATGTAAACACTCATCGCTGACACAATAATGGTGTTTCAGGCAGTCGTAGGAGTTACCTGCAGTATACCGCCAAAATGCCGTAAAAGTTGAGTTGTGTTAAGTTTCCGGCATGTCGGCGGCTAAACAGCGGTGTACAGAACTTATCTTGGTTATTTATGTTATGAACGCTTCTCAGATTGACCGGTGGCAATATTTCCCGCATTTTGTAAAAGATGGCGGATGAATTTTCAACACAGGACACTCATCGCTGACACACTAATGGTGTTTCAGGCAGCCGTAGGAGTTACTTGTGGTATGCCGCCGAAATGCCGTAAGAGATGAGTTGAGTTCCCATCACGCATTTGTGTAAAAAGATGGCGGATGCATTTTCAACACAGGACATGGAACCAAGAAAAGACTCAATGGAAAATTCCAATCACTTTACGATAAAAATAAAACTTATGGATACAATACGCAACTATCGGGCTATTTATGATAAATCGTGTCCAGAGTACAAAAATCAAAAGTAAAATCCAAATAATTCTCTTTTTAGGCGGCTCTCCCATCTTTGATGTATTTGAAATGACTGTTAAAGGGCAGCAATTTGCTAATAGTAACGCTATTTTCAAATTACGAAGCACTATTTTGTCAAATTCAAACTGCCGCTAAAGTTTTGTTGTCAAACGGCGATTTGAATTATGTCATTGAAAAGCATCGCAGACATGCCTCACTCCTGCTTCAGCCACAAGATCAGAAAGCAACTCAGGCTTGCCCTAAATAATGCATCAGTCATGTCTCAATCATATGTGAATTAGCATTTATGTTTTTAAACTTTCTTTGTACATTGTAATGATGTCTCAAGTTAAAGTTTTTGTCACATTCATGTCCATTCCTGGCAATCAAGGCACATTCATGTCTCTTTTAACACATACTCTTTCATGAAGGGGGAGGGAGATTTCCTGCGACACAGGTTTCCCCTCTAATTCTTCCTCGACGCTTTTTCGATATAGGATTGTTGAAACGGAACGAAATTCGTTAATGCAAAAATTTGATAAAATTTGACGATAAACAAAAATATTTGCTACATTTAACATATACCTAATACTCGTCAAAATAGCTATATTCTTCGCATGAGGTCATAGGAATAATTATTCATGTACTCTAAATGTTTGAAGGCAGAAAAGGCAACATTTAAAAAAAAAATGAAGAATTTTATGCGCTTGTGCACAAGACATTTCAGTAACAAAGTTATGATAAACTCCCGGGTAAAATGGTTTGAACCGGGAGTATCGTTCATGTTTGTAAATGTCGATTTTGATTCGGAAGATGACTACCGCTAAGGTTCTCGAAACGTCAGTCAATAACAACAAAACAGTCCTTCTCAGGACTATACCAACCTGGACGATCTACATTTACAAACATGTAACATTTAAGTTACATTCGCTACTTTGCTGCTTTATTAGCATTCCAGTGCAATATTTTCCATTCCATAATTTGCCTCAGACAGTCAAACACTTACTCAGACATGGAAGATATGCTGGGAATATACGTATAAGGTGCAAGTCATGCGCAGGAGAATGTTAACATAACAGTATTGCCATAGTGACGGATTTTTTATTGAAAACAGACCTTGATAATGTCGTCGGAACACATACCTTTATTATCTTCCATGGATCAAGAAGACTTAAACGAAAGAAGAAAATAGAAGAAAAGGAAAAGAACAAAGTCCGATTTCATGTTTCAAAGCAGGATGCCAATTGATAATTGAGGTCTTCTGCTATATCGTTGGGTTATTTATCTTCCTGTATGCTTGATTGTATCCTGATTGTATCCTTGATATATGATTACGTATTGCTTAGACAATTGCGTCTGTGGAATCCGCAAACTTGGATCCAAAATTTGGATGCGACTTAACTGCTGTAACACAAATGGTCTCATTTGTTCAATGACTTGCCCGAAACCACGAATGGACCCTTTAACATGCCTTAAGGTAACTTTTGCTTGACTCTGCCTTAATGATGTAATAAATAATTATGTAGTTTAAGATCTTGATGCTTTTCAGTTACGGCTTTATGATCTTCGGGATGAAACTTGTACAATGCAATTGATACCTTAGGTAGTTGTTGTGTAGAACTCTTTAGTTACAAAACGTAATTCAACCTAAAAGTTTCGATATTTAAATTGCACAATGTTTTTCAGCTTTGCAGGTTTACATAATTTTTACATGACAATTTTATATTGTTTAGTTTTGTACTTTTGGCAGACACACGAACAATGAAAGCTGTCGTTATAGCACAGGCGGCCTAGAAATCTGTTCAGGTTTTTTATGCAATCGATTTAATTAGCAAATATATTCCTTGATTTATATGCAATGTTTGTCACGCGCGCTATCTCGCCCGAACTCCATTGCTTTCTATTGCTTTTACAAAAATTTAGACAGTCTGCAATGCGAGAACATACATACGTGTAACTCACGCGAGAAAGCGCGCGTGACAAACATTGCATATAAGTCATGGAATATATTGCACTGCGAGAACATACATACGTGTAACAAATTTCTGGGCCGCTTATGGTTATAAAAGATGTTTTTCGTCTACGTCTCACATAAACCATCAAAACAAAAACATGGCGATAACAGTCAACTGTAATATCACCTGAAACGATACATTCATGAAATTGATCTATAATTAGATTGATGACATCTGACCAGTGCTCCAGATGTCGACCTGATGTTTTGAGGTGGATCTGCAATGTCCATAGCAACCTTGAGCGCTCATTGTGTGAACAAAAAAGAACTGGAGCGACCTACACCCGTTGAGCCAAAATACATTCAACTCTACATGAAATAAATAAATGAATTCGAGATTTCATACCCGACACGCGTGTTTAGTTTTAGGAGATTCTCTTGCAAAGTGACAACTAATTGAACTGGAAAATGAACATTAAATTGAGGTTTATTACAAAAAAAATGAAAAGTTGTTTTCATTCGTTTGTTTGTTGCGTATTTGTGTTGGCATTTGATCATATTGAACAAAAAAACCAATTTCTTCCTTTTTTGCATTTTTAAGAACTACTGCCATAAATTGTTTGGTAATAACCTTACGATTTCAAACGTTTTCATTATCCTTAAGTATAGTATATTGAAGTTTCCATTTTGAAATTTGAAATTGATGTTTAAAGCGTACACTAATTTCAGTTAAACCATTTTTGATTTAAGTCGAAGGCAGTCGACGGCGTTTGCAAGTATCGAACCTCTGCTTCTTTAACTATTTTTTATGTTTGAATTACATGCAAAATATTACGTAAGCTAGTTTGCTAGAAATTTAATTTGCTCTAATTCGCTTGACTTGACATAAATAACGAGGCGTAATTATTGCTAAATATTTATTTACTAATTGATTACATGTTTGTGTTTCAGCGAGTTTTCTTGGTGATTATCATACCTCGCATTATTGCTACTGTTGTATGCAATCTACGATTGGCGTTGCATGATTTATGAGAAAAAGTCGGTTTTGAATTGTAAGCAAGATCATAAGTTTGGTGATGATGTGTTGTGGATCGACGCATGGCTTTCCCTATCAATCGTATCATCGCTAATACTTATCATAGTATTTATATGCGACAATGATTTGAACTTCAAAAAAGAACAGTGGAAAAGTATTTATAGAAAAGGCTCTTTTTTTTCTTTGTTGTTCCTAATGGTAGTGACATTAGGGTTTTACATATGGCGCATAGCTTCTGGGACAGAAGTTTTTGCGGCTTTACTTTTTCTTCTTTGGGTTCCAATTACTACAGCACTTGTCAGTGTTATAAATTTTGTACCTCAGACAGATGAAACAAATAGAACAAATAAAACAAATGGGACAAAATGGAACAAATGCATCAATTGGAACAAATGGAACAAATGGACGTCTGTACAGACTCATAAGCTTTTAAGTTGGGAATGGAAGTTCGAGGATTTGGTTCTACTGGCTTGCAGTACTAATATATTTTGTCGAAATATTGGTTAGGATTTTCGTCTGTATTTCGGGATACTGTGGAAGAACTGGCACCAATCCTGGAAGATTCTTTTCATCATGAATTAAAGGACTTAAACGGACTTAAAGTCATTCTTATGGGTTTTAGATTGGCATTTCACGCTCGTATATTGGGATTTTTTTACGAAAAAATTTTTCACGGTGACAAAGATCTGTTGTCTGAACCATCAAAAACTTTAGATGATTGGAAACAAAACAAATAAAACAAGTGAAGTATGGTAGAACATGTGGAAAAGCAATCAAATATCACAATGAGCAAAAAGCATTTCATGTAGCAACTGCACAAGAAAAATAAGCACTTACCTTGAGTATGGGAGCTTCTATATCACAAAAATATACTATTGCAAAGACTTTTAATTAATAATAATGTAATTTACCTTCTATATGCCAATTGGCAAGTCTACTGTTAATTATAAGCACTTAATTTTAACATTGATATATACCATATGAACTTTAATGAACTTTAATGACTAACAATAGGTACTCCTATAGGGCTTTTCAGTAGCTATTTCATTAGATAAACAATACCATATTCATTAGATAAACAATACTCAGTAAAAAAAATTGAAGATGTAATAACATGTACTAAGATTTGTATCAATAAACTAATCTTTTTCCTATTTCACTCATCGAAAACGTCTTTTTGCAATGTTCTCTCGTGCTCGGTCTACTTATGGCATCAAAACGTAGTAATGCGAGAACTTTATGTGTAAGACAGTAGTTTTTTATATTAGTGGCTTTCTTGCAAATTAAAATTTCCTCAAAAGCTTACCTAAAGGAGTTAATCTTCTCCAAACACTTTTTAATAACTTGTATAGCTTGTGTTTTAAAATTTTGATTTATATGTAATGCATAACTTCTGAATTATTAGATTGTTTAGGTATATTACCATATTTATTGACTTGGACACAGATTAGAGGACAAACAATATTCACACTCTATTGAAAATTTTTGATAACATGATCCCGGTTAACCGAGATTCAGTGATGCGTAAAATAATTACGAGGGATTGATAGGAGGCAAAACTTCAAGCGTAAAAATTACAACTGTTTGTTCGACAGCATCAGTAATTCTTGTTGTAATTTTAAAAATAGGCCAAACTGGTTGTTTTAATTTCAAATGTTTTGCGTAGTTATTATCACATCAAAATATTGAGAAATTGCTCGTGTTGAATCGTTTTCATTCGCCAAAATCATTTAACGCTTGGCTGAGTCCCGGCTACCATGTTTCATGTAATCAGCCACAGGTTTTCACTGGCGACATTAGAATAAGGATAAACAAAGACTAAAAATAGAAAATTCAATAGAAGGCAATAAAGCAAATGACGCAAGCATCAGCATAAGCATAAGCACAGCAACTTGACATAAGAATAAGTTAGAACAAAAACAAATTGAAAAGAAAATCCTTTTTTTTACTTCCTCCAATCGCTGGAGAATATGCCTGGCTTTGCTTTATCGCTTTTGCTTATGTTGCAAAGAACTGGACTTTCATGCGAATCTTAATACGCACATGATTAGCGTAATGGCGCCAATCAAATGTATTTTCTGACCAATAGAAACACTAAGTTGGCTAACCAAATCAAATATACATTGAAGTGAACCTATTGTTTATTCCTTAAACTGTGGAATTGAGAATCAGTTTGTTTGTTTTCTATTTTATAACTTCTTTTTTCCAAAATTCCAAGATTTTTTATTTTGTTTCTCAGTCAAATCTCACACTATACAGGGTGCAAAGTTTAGAAACTTATTAATGAAAGTATTTGATCGTGGTGTAATGTTTACCAACAACATGGCATCTAAAGACCAATCCCGAATAACAGTGTACTCACATGTAAATATATATGTCAAGCAATCTGCAGAAAGCTGACAAATAACAAAAAAATTTAATGTTCATTTGATCTCAACTTTTCTAAACGTCAAAAAACTCCAACACTTACAGTCCCTCTCAGACGATCTATACATTTTCAAACAAATAACGACACTTCCATAACACTTTTTGTATTATATATTATGACTTTTTTAGTTTTTTTTATGAAAATTTTTTCAGCGCAATTTCAAAAATAGGTGGTAGAATTAAGCCTAGTTTGGAAAACTCAATTTCAATGCATAGTTTCTTTGTAAATTTTAGATGTGTATTGATAGATATTGATGAAGGTCAATTAGCTTATGCACGTAACTGTATTCTGCTCATATTTCAATATTTCGTACTGATCTTCTGAAAACACCTAAAAATGAAAGGCAAAATATTGATAATGGAACTGTCGACATTTAGAATAGAAGACATAAACTTTAATAGATTAACCCGGCAAAAAAGTTTGGTCACGCTAGATCATGCTAATCAAAATAAAACAAGCAAAGAACAAGTTATTGACCACATCTCCTGCATCTAAATGAAGAATAAGGAGCAAGTCAAAGCGTGGATAGAGACAATATTATGTACTTAAACCTATCTTGATTTGATAGTGTTCTTCATCTTCGTCCTTCGACTTTGAAACTAAAAGCAAACACTAAAAAGTTGATGACGCAAGGAAAACACAGCACGTACATCTGCTCTGTTTTTATTATGTTTTTCCTCTCTTGTCTTGTGCATCTGAAAAAATACTAAAAATACAAAGAAAAGTTAACGACTGATAAAAACAAGTTTCTAT